TCAGTGGAATAAACGCTTCCCTGGCAAGTGGAATGGGCTTGAGTTCAAATCCCGATTCTGAAAAAATAAAGTAAATGCTTTAAACCAATTTGGGACATTAAGGCAACCATAAGAATGCAAGTAAGGGAGGGCCGGCCAGATAGCTGAGAGGATCAAAGCACCTGCTTAGGTGAACACAAGGGGCAGGGTTTGATCTCTGGCATGTCATCCTGGCCCCACAACCAGTGCGTGTTGAGTCAGTGACTGAGACTGGGCATGGTGGCATGCACCTGTAATCCCAGCACTTTGGGAGGCTGAAAATAGAGGAGGATCACTAAGAGTCCGATCTGTGTAGTGAGACCCTGTACTAAATACATTAAAAAAAAAAAAAAAGTACAGAGAAAAATTTCCAATTATCTTTTAGTATGCTTATACGAAAGACATTTTTTTAAAAGATTTTTTTTTGGGGGGTGATCAGAAGATGCCTTGAGGGCCTTTCTGGTTTCCTGTGAGAAACTGGATTCGATCTAGAGCATCTTGAGCCTGACTGTTTTGTTTAAGCAGGCACTTAAACAACTGAGCTAAAAAAACAAAAACAAAAACAAAAACACCGGAGCTAATGGGCAGACCCCCTAAAAGACATTTATTTATCTAATCCTTAATGCCTGTTATTCCTTCATACGTGCTTTAGGCCACTACAATACATCTGGGACTAAACAGCAACATAGATGGATGCTACAAATTGAGGTCAAGGCCAATCTGAATTGCATAGACGCCATCTCAAAAAAAAAAAAAAAAATACATTGAAAAATTATAGGGCTATAAAACTGTGCAAAGGCTACATAGGGAAAACAAAATAATTTAATTGCAAGACAATAATATTAAAAAGACAGTAATATAAATACTTTGGAATGGTTCCTAAAAGCCTTGCATCTGTGCTTAGTAACTTCAAAATGCTTAGATCTACTATTTGTTTTTTGCTTGTGGAACCAGGGTTTGAACTCAGGCCCTTGCACTTGCCTAGTAAGTGCTTATTCCACTGAGGCATCTCCCCCCCTCCCCCCGTTTTGGTGGAACCAGGAATTGAACTCAGGCCCTTGCACTTGCCGGGGAAGCACTTATTCCACTGAGCCATCTCCCTGGCCCTGGATCTACTATTCGTAAGAAACTATTTGGATGGGTGTATGATATACACTTGTAATCCCAGCTACTCTGGAGGCTGAGATAAAAACAGGACAAGTTCAAAGCCACCTTGGCTAACTTTTTAAAAGGGCTGGGGATATAACTCAGCAATCTTTGGGTTCAATCTTCAGCACTGCAAAACAAAACAACTCCACAATTATATATTTTTTGAGACAGGGTGTCACTATGCTGTTCAGGCTGGTCTTGAGCTCATTTTGTAGCCCAGGCTGGTCTTAAACTCACAATAATCCACAATAATCCTCCTGCCTCAGAGCCTCCCAGTGCTGGGATTACAGACATGTGCCACCATGCCTACCTCAAAAAAAATTCTTAATTTTTTATTTTATTTGTGTGTGTGTGTGTGTGGCCAGCTCAGCCCACCAGGGGGCGGGGCGGGCTGGCATGTGGTGCTGGGGATTGAACCGCGATCCCTGGGCTTTGCTAAGCTTGTTCTAAGTAGGTGCTTTAGACCACTGAGCCATCTCACCAGCCCCTACCTCAAAATTATAATTTGTTGTTAGGGAAGTCATGAAAAACAACTATATAACTGATTACAATTGAAACAACATTGACTCACTAAAAGGTCTATGTTCTTATTAAATTCTGTTGAATGCAGATTAGATTTTTTTTTTGTGTGTGTGTGGAACCGAGGATTGAACTCAGGCCCTTGTACTTGCCAGGGAAGCTCTTATTCTACTGAGCCATCTTCCTGGCCCTGGATTTTTTGATACTCAGGACACATTGAGACTGTTCTTAAAGGCATGCCAATACATTTTCTTGAAACAACCTAAGCAAATGAGAATTTTCATTTTGTGTATGGGAATAACTAAAACCTTTATTAGATATGGTTTTCAAATAACAATAATGAGAAAATTGGAAATATCAATTCAAAGAGCAGTGAAATCTGAAATTTAAAAAAGTAGACTATTATGGGACCCCCCCCAAAAGGAAGACAAGAGTCTTAATACTATTCAATAGTTTCCCTCTGTACACAATGTTGCATATATACAACTACTCCATTTTTATTTTATTGATTTTATATTATAATGAAATCCCTTTAAGCAACCTAGGGCATACAGTTGGTGTCCAGCATAAGGGGAAGGAGTAGAAACACTTGATTAGCAGTTTTTACCCATACATTTTAAACAGTTTTCTTTTTGCTGAGATTTTAGTAATAAATTCATAAATTAGGAAAGACTTTCATTCCTTCAGTGTTAAAAATAGAAAAATGAACAGTGCCAACAACAGTGGCTTAATTATTGGTATACAAGAAAAACACAACACCAACAAGTTTTCTTAATTATGCATTTTAAATATCAATATGTGCATTTCATTTTTACAGTTATAAATTTTCTAACCTTTTAGACAACAGCATGTAATAATTTTGAATCAATTGAAATGTTGCTTTCAATTTGAAATATTGTGAATACATGTGTATAAAAAAATAACCCAATGTATGACTCATCTGACAGATGTTTAAAGATCAATAAAGGCTTATTTTTGAACATGCAGTTAGGAAGAGAGGGAAGCAAGCCAACCTCTCTATACTGTCTTGCTGCTGGCTTGGTTTTGCAGTGGTGTCAATAGTGGTTTTTGGAAGGAACCACGTGCCTTCATCCCATCTACTTAAGATCAGATACCACAATCATCAAGAGGGGTAGAGGGGACAAGACAGTGAAAAGACAGTGGGCAGGTGTTAAATGTCAAAATTTAAGTGTGCCTTTTGCACTTTGTCTAGGTGCAGGATAAAAACAAGCCAATGAAGGGGGAAAATTATATATAATTAGGAACAAAATTACAATTGAATCAAGACATAATAGCCGAATTAAGTTTTTTTTAATAGATTGCATATATAGATGCTTAGCCATACTCTTAAGATTAACTCTTTAAGAGCAGAACTTTATATCCAATTTACATGCTTCAGATACCACCTTTATTTTTTACAGTAAGGTCTTGTATCCAAATATCCACTTATACACTGAGAGCTTTAAGAAAAAAACAGGACACAGAGGGATTGCCATTTTTAGCAGCAATGAAGTATCACTAACCCCTTTTTTTACATACCGAATTCAAGTCACTATCAGAGGTGAGTGCACCACAAAGTCACTAGGTACAAAATTGCTAGTTCATTTTTAAATAAGTTGAAATTACCCCTGCCCCCCACCCCATTAATCCCTTTTATAAACAGCAAACATTTTGCTTTTATACATAGGCTAGCAGGCTTGTTTCAATATGAAAGTGCTAATTCATTTACAGATCTTTAAATCAGTTATGTAGTGCTACAATAAATGTCCAATAATCTACATAGGAACGATCTTTGATGAATGAAAATGATGAACACAGAATAAGGCTATCAGATTACCTTATCTTATTTACATACAAAGGATATCCAATGGTAAGGAGACAGAAATCGGACAAATACTCATAGGTATAAAAATTACATCTACCTTTGAGCTTTATACTGTAAATGAGACATTTTAAATAGTCCTGTAGCCCATGCCTATTTTTTTCCTCAGAAAAAGAAAAGCTGCCTTCATGACATCCCCTCGTTTCAGATTTTCCACAGTGTCACTTGAAGCTTCAGTCAAGATCTTACTTTCTTAAAAAAAAAAAAGAAAGAAAATACCCACTAGTTACCCCCTCCCCCACAATCCCTCTGGCTTCTTGTCCAGTGCCAGGTTGCATGATCAGGTCCCAACTCCTGGGTTTCTTTCTCTTTTTTTGTCCATCTATTGATCAATTAAGAGTAGATAACATGAACCAGTTCTGGAACCACTACAAGGAGAAACACAAGCTCTTCACTACAACCACACAGCAGGAAAGAAAGTGGTAACTCAATTCATCCCTGGTGCTGGGCCTCCAAAATTGAAAGAACTTGGCACAACTGGAGCACTGAATTTGTATCCTCCATGCTTCTCAATCATTTTCGATTCTAAGGAACAAATAAGTGAAATTTTAATTGGGTATTCAACTCTCTTACTACTTAGGTTGGGAGAGGAACTAACAATACTTAACAAACCAATAACAATAACTTAAGCACATTAGTAGCCAGAGTGTACAGGTATGCCTATGCAGAGATCACTTCTCTTATATGCTAGACTTTGAAGCCAATTTTTACTTTCCACTGTTAAGAAAATGAATTTTTAAAAACCTGAGTTAAATGTATTCATAAGGGCTTATCTAAAAAAGGAACAAAAATGTAACAAATGAAAAGCAATACAAATACAAAATATTATGCCTTATATACAAAAAGCGCCCCCTCCAGGCCTGTGGCCTTCTTACTGAGCTATACCCACATGCCTTTTTTTTTTAAATTTTTTTTATTTATGGGGGGGCAGCTCAGCCCACCAGGGGGCGGGGCTGGCTGGCATGTGGTGCTGGGGGATTGAACCGCGGTCCCTGTGCTTTGCCAAGCTTGTTCTAAGTAGG